TGGGGGAAGCTATTTGAGGTACGTTGCTCTTAACCTTATCTACCCTCCTCGACACTTCTTACCGTGAGGTTGTGTGTTCCTTCTTGAGAGTCCTCTCATTGTGAGGTGTCGAGTGCACTCAACCTTGAGAGTCGGCAATGTTCACGTGGAGCATCTGGGAGAAGATGGGCGGAGCTTTCTGAAGGGCCCTGGACGAAGCACTGGGTCACGGTCACCATGCCAACCCACAGGGAGTAGAGCACCCATGCCTTGCTGCTTGTCCTTTCTTCGGCTTGCTGCGCTGTTAGATGGGTACTGATGGGCAGGCCAGCCCTTAAGGGAGACGAGACCGAGCGTCTTTAAATAAGCACCAGAAGGGGAACCATTGGCTGTGATCGTCGTCCGACTGCGACGTAAAAGAATTCCTGGAGTCACTTGGGGGCGGACGTTAAATTGCCTCTGGATCAGCCAATGGTTGTAAGCCTCGCTGCACGCGAGGATAATCCAGTGCAGGGCTGGCCAGCTCAGCAGATACTCGGGGCACAAGGGTGGGCCGAACACACACCTTTAGACACGCGACGCTCTCCAGATTGCTCAGGGACGCTGACGTCAAGTGATACTTAGGGGAACTTAGGGAGGGGTAAATTCCAGGTGATAAGTTCGAGAAAATTCCATGCTGTCCTATCCACACAAATGATTTTATTTTTATGTTTTGATTAGTTAGGTGTACAGCCATTGACATCTGACAGAGAACATTAGTTAGAACTTCTTCTTGTTCATGGTGCTTCTGTTTGCGGACTAGTCAAACTAAAAATAGTTTCGTTTGTAGGAATCTGACTACCTGTTGACCTCAAGTGATATCTGTTCCAAAATAGCAACCACCTAATTAGTTGGTCTGTGCACTACGCTGCGGTAGGCATCTAGAGTGCATTAGTGCAGATTGTGTACAATGCTGTAGCTCATGAGCGATAGGGAGGAACAGCAACCGGAGGACCGGATCTTGCGATCGGCAAGGCGCCCAGTAGCCCACTTGGCATTAGGCCCAGAGGGCGACAGTCATCTGTTCCGCCAGCTTAGGGAGAGGCAGCAGCAGCAGAGGAGGGTTAGAGCAGCAGAGGCTAGCAGGGCAATTGTGAGTGAAGCTGCAGCTTCAGAAGCCATGGCCACCTCAGCACAGCAGTCCTCTCAGGCCGGTAGTTCAGGGTCTGTCGGGTCAACGGTCGCGCAGACCCAGAGTCAGTCCACTGGCGTAATGGCGAGCCAGCCATTGGTGTTGACCCCGATGAGATCGCCATACAGGAGGCAGCTCTAAAAGAGACACAACTACAGCATGCATTAGGACAGATAAAAGCGGAGAAGGATAGAATGATTAGAAGAAGAGCCAGGATGCAGCGGAGAGAAGCGGATATTAGTGAGTTAGAGGAGATGGACCTGACGCACGCAACGAATGATGTGAGGATCATCCGGTCTGTCATGCTCAATGTAGTGGAGATGCAGGACCAGCAAACAACCATCCTGCAGGACATCCAAAAAAGTTTGGCCCTGTTGGTTGGGCGAGCGCCAGCAAGGTGCCTGACCCGTTGTACATCCTCCTCCTTATGTCCCACCAGTGACTGGGGTATCCCCATATATAGCTCCATCATCGGTTGTGATCGTTTCCCTGGGCATGCCGCTATCAGGAGGGGTATCAGCAGGAACTAGTTTGCAGGTTCGTGTACAGACAGTGTACACCCAATCTCCGTTGCAGGTTGCTGTCACCACGCAGCCTGCTGTCTCGCAGCCTGTGCAGCCGCTGGGCACACAGCCCCAGCAGCTAGCACAGCAACCTGTGTCACAGGGTCCACAGCCCGCCATGATGCAGGGACCGGGACAAACACAGTGGGTTCCAGAGACGGCCATCGCCGCTCCGAAACCCTTCACAGGGGACAAGAGAGGCGCGCCCGCACGTGCTGCACCTCGCCTCTCAGCGCTAGCAGCAGCCCACGAGCAATTGCTTCAGCAGCGCTGCCGCCAGCATGCAAGTGCCTGAATGAGGCTGCCTGGGGAGAGCTCTTTTCTTTATGGAAAGAGCCGGCCTGCTCGTGCAGCCTGGCTGTACTGGCCTGGGCCCAAAAGCTTCCGGGAAGGCCCCAGGATGCTTCCTTTGCGCTGCAGCTTCTGGGCCTCGTTCGGTTGGGCCTCCCAATTGTCAGAGTACGAGGCTTCGATTCACGCCCAGGGCCTGCATTCTTTGGAAAGGCCCAGTAGGCCGCGGGAATGTCTTGGTTGCTCGTCCTGTATTTCTCTCAACCAACTGGCGCATCGCAACCGCCTGTACCCCAAATATGAAATTGACAGTCAAAGGCCTCTTGTACTATGTTAGGCCCGCCTTCACTTAGGGCGGGCACCACTGCAACCGGGGCCCCTTAGGCCTGCCAAGGTCCCAGATCCTCGCATTCCCTCCTCCTTTACTTCGTTAAGTCCTCTGAGAAGTCTCTTATTCTGCAGGCATCTTCCCTTTCAGTTCTCTTTCATAGCCTGCTATCACTTGAGGTGTTGTTCTCAGAAGCTCAGACGATACTGCATTCTCGTGTGAACCAACGATCTTCCTTGGGATCGAGATGATGTCTGAAGCTCACATGATACTGCATTCTCGGTTTAGGAGGGCGCCCTCTGCCTGGTGGTCGAGGAACAGGCATCATTCGATGCTCCACGATCTGGTCGATGTCCACCTCGCCATCCATGGTTGGGGGCAGCATTGATCTTCTTGAAGGAAACTGCTCTGTTGCAGCCAAAGGTGCCAACTTGGAAGCATGGAAAACAGGGTACGTACGTAAGTGGGGAGGAATGCGAATTACGTATGATGGCCCATCTGGTTGATCCCCTACAATGTCCAAGATCTCCCAGGGCCCAAAGTATTGTGGCATCAACTTCCGTGAGATCCCCATCTCCTGACCTAGTTCATATGACTTTACCCAGACTCTCTCACCTACCTGAAAGTTACAGGACCGTCTATGTCTATTCTCAGATGCGATCATAGCATCCTGAGACTTCTTGATATGTTCAACGGCCTGGTGCAGCATCTGTTCATACTTTACAGCAAACTCTATGCTGCCAGGTGTTGCAATGTGTTGTCTTTCTGGTAGCAGAAAGTCAAGCGCACTTCTGGGCTTCCAACCAAGATGTAGCTGGTTGGGAGTCGTACCCGTAGTACTGTGCACAGCGTTATTGTACAGGCTGGCGACGAGGGGTGACTTCTCATCCCAGTCATTCTGACTTGGCTTGATATAATGCCGAAGCAGGTGCTGTACTACCCGATTCATCTGTTCGGCTTGGCCATTTGACTCAGGGTGATTACCTGAAGTCATTTGGAGTTTGGTGCCCATCTGTTCAGCAGTGGATTGCCACAGCTCACTGGTAAACCATACATCCCTATCACTTACTATAGATGTAGGAAGTTCAAAATCGCGTACCCAATTGTCTAGAAACAGCTTGACGATAAAGTCAGTTTTCGCAGTTTCTGGCATGGCGATAAGTCTTGCATACTTAGAGAAACGGTCTACTATCACGAAGATGTATCTTTTCCCAGATTTGCTGGTCACAAGTGTATCCATGAAATCCATGGACACGCTCTGACCAGGGCCTTTAGGAATCGGCAAGGGCTTGAGGAGCCCAAGCGGAGCCTGAGTCCAAGGTTTGTCCCTTTGACAAACTTGGCATGTTTCAACATACTTCTTTGCATCTTGCATCATAGTAGGCCACCAGAATTTCTGCACTAGGTTAGCTGAAGTCTTTTTATAACCGAAGTGTCTAGTTGCATCGTGACACTCTCCTAAAAATAAACTACGTGAAGACTCACTATCCGGAACACACAACCTTGTATTCCCTGCCTTCACAAGAAACAGCAAGCCGTCTACCATCGTAAATTCATCCAAAGTCCTTTTGTCCTTGGTTTGAAATCTACGGATGATCTCAGACATAACTGGATCTTGCTGATAGGCATCCACCAATGATCGAGTCAAGTCGCTAGATATGCCAAATTCAATCACTAGTGCGCCAAGATAATCTGCTCGACAAGATAGCGCATCAACCACCTTGTTGTACTCTCCCTTGATAGGATCAAGTCGATAGTCATACATGTCTACCACTTGTATCCATCTCTTGAGTGCATCAGAGAGCACGGGTTGTGTTTTGATCCAGCGCAAGGTTTCATGGTCAGATCTCACAGAGAAGAATCTGCCTAGGCGATAATCTCTCCAATGAACCAGCACTCTATATAGGGCATAGAGCTCACGCTCGTATATGGACTTTGCTAGTTTCTGAGATGGCATCTTTTTACTCATATACTCAATCGGTCTCAACTTTTTCCCCTCCTTTTACGCAAGGACCGCGCCTATGCCATCTTGGCTGGCGTCTGTGGTCACGACAAAGGGCTGATCAGGATCAGGAACTTTGAGAACCTCATAGTGTGTTAAGGCGTACTTCAGTTTCTTAAAGGCTGCCTCACACTCTTCAGTCCACTCCCATGGGCTGTCAAGTCAAGTTAAATCTGTAAATGGGGAAGCTATAGTACTATAGTTCTTCACAAACGGACGATAGTAGCCCGTCATCCCCAAAACCGATCTGACCTCAGTAA